AGCCAAGCACACAATTGGGGATCTATCTTTTTACGCAAAAATCAAGAGCAAAGAAGATCAACGAAGATTCAAGCATAGTTTTTCTTATCTAATTTATTTATTTTATTTTCTTTATCATAAGAACTACGAGTAGCTAATTTTCTTTTTCTAGGATTTTATTTGGAACCCTATGTGGGATTTATGAACCCAATTCTATGATTTTATGCAAGTTTTAATTCCGGATTATTTCTTCTACTTGTTTTATTAAGTTCATGAAACTGGCCACTTTATGCGCTTTTATGTTATTGTTAATCGCATGAATCGGAAGATCGGGTTAATAATTAGAACTGTGGTAGAAGAGCCTTGTGGTATTAACATAGGAATATAGTTAATCTCTTAGGTAGCCATTGTTGAGATTTGTGCTTAATGCTTTGTTCTAGAATTAATTGCATAGGAATATAGTAATTGAATCTAGAGTATAGAATTGTATCCTCGCGGAAGCGGGTTATGATTATTTTAGCATGTCAGGTTAATAATCCGGGTTAATTGCTTGCATAATTGAAGGAATTGAGGGAGTAATAATCACATAGGGGGAAGAATAAAATCCTAGGCTTGTCTACTTTGATTAATCTTCGTATTTTAATTTGCTTTCTTGTTTTTGCTTGCTTTTTAATTTAGTTTAATTTAGTTTATTCTCTCAAAACTCGACTGTGTAGGGTGGGCTTGATATTAATTGGTAGAATTTAGCGTCTAGGATTAGATAATTAAATATTCCCTGTGGGTTCGATATCCGGACTTTTAGTCCACTATATTACTTGTACGATACGTGCACTTGCGTGTAGGTTTTCGACCAACAGTGAGCTTATTGGTGAAAGAGATATAACCCCTGAACCTAGTATAATAAAGATGCTTGATTAGAAACCTATGCACAAAACCACTTCTTTTAATACTAATGTTTCAATATTAACTATAAAAGGATGTTTTTTTGATATATATTATAAAAGAATTCACATAAAAAAGAAATTATTTACTATATGGTTCTTTCTTCTTATTCTCAATAGATATGTGCTAAAACTAAAAGAATAAAAATAAATATTCAGTATCCATACTTTTTTTTAATTTATCAAATTGTGTGATATTTAATCAAAATTTTACTGATTTCTATTACAATTTATTATATAATACTCATAATAATTAAGACATTTTTGTGAAAAAGGTATAACTTATTTTGGATTATTGATGAAAAAATCTGGGAGAAGATGACACACTAAGTTTTGATTTCACTCCGGTTTTAATTTCCAAAATTTTCAATTATTTTTCGACAATTACACTTGTAATATCCATCCATAATATTATATATTTTATATTATAAGTAACTGAAAATAAGGGACTTTCAAATTTCGCCTTTTACAATCCGATTTTTTTTTTTACGATTTTGGAACAAGTTTTCTTTATTGACGTACTTCACTCGTAAGTTCCGAGGAGGTCAGTTTCAAAATGAGAAAATAATAATATATAAACGATTATCTTTTTATAACAACTCCAATTCAAGTAAAACAAAATGATACGAAAAAAAAAAAAAAACCTTTATCTCTTAATTCAAAGTTGTAACATATGAAATTCAATTAAATATTACAAAGAAGAAAATGCGAAGCGCGCAAAACGCGGCATGAAAATTAAGTGAAATCATTTGAAACATATGGTATAACTCATTTGAAACATATGGTATAACTCTATCACATGGAATGCAATCTAATACACCATGTGAATCTTATGCACAATAACTGACTTAACAACAAACACGGTAACAGAGAAGTGACACAAAAGAGATTCAAATAACTTCCAAGTTTATCACTAACGACGTTCAATCAACGATACACATTATTCAAATTACAACACAACTTATAAATATTGCAAAAGAGATGAGATGTATACGCCACTACCTTCACATAACCATGTGTTGAACATGAAAGAAACAATACCACGTATTACTAATACTAATACCAATAATAATACTAAAACTAATAATAATAATAATTCAAATCTTGATGCTAATCTTAATCCAAGTCATAATACTAATACTATTACTACTCACTAATCGCAATCCTTGTACCAAAGGCGAAATCCGTCGCCCCCAGGGCCCCCATCCCTTGGCCCGACAAGTATTTGATGGAGGATTGTAAATCATGGTAACTTAACGGCCCGTTTAGATAGCGGACCCCGACCTGGTGCCCACAAGGAACCAACCCTCATTGAAGTTGAAATCCCCACACTGCGACTGCCAGAATTCGATCCTAGGACCTTGTACCAACTTACCATCTCCGCAACGAGTTGAGCTACACCCATGCGGGCACTAATCGTAATCCTACTAATACTAATACTAGTACAAATACTAATACTAACACTAACATTAATACTAATATTCATATTAATGATATCAATATGGATACTAATATTTACGGGTGAAAGTTCGATCGATCAAATCGGAATTAGCCTTTTCGAAAAAAAATTCAAAAATTTTCGGAAGTACTTTCATAATATCGGAAAGATATCGGAAATAATAAGTTTTAAAATTTTAAAACTTAGCAGAAATTTCTGAAAGTTTCAGAATTTTCCAAAAATAAGAACATCCATGTCGATAAAAGTAAAACTAATAACTATCAAATTTCAATTTAAAAAAAAAAAGTAAACCACATATCCAATAAAACTGTTAACAACAATTCAACATATCAAAATCCTTAAACAAAACTTAAATCAAATTACTATTTCAGAAAGAAGAAAAAAACTTATCATAAGTATTATATAATATATATTATTTATAGGGAATTTTTTCGGGGGAAAAAATCATACTCGTTTTGAACTAATTTCAATTATTAAACCAGATCGAAAATCGGAAAATTCATATATTTATATAATTCCAATTCCAATCCAAAAAAGTCGGAAAATTTTAAAAATCGGAATTTCGGAAGTCAGAATGAAAAAAGTTGTTCCAAAATTGAAAAACATTTACTAGTACTAATACTAATGTTAATGCAAATGCTAATACTAATACTAATATTAATATTAATGCTAATACTAATATTAATACTAATACTAATACTAATACTAATACTAATACTAATACTAACACTAATACTAACACTAACAATAATATTAATAGTAATATTGATAAGAATACGGATACTAATATTCAGAGGTGAAAGTTGGATCGGAATTAGCCTTTTCGGAAAATTTCCAAAACTTTTCGTAAGTATGAAATCAATTCTAATTCGAATTTCAAAATTTTGGGAAGATTTCGGAAATCACATAAGTTTTAAAATTTCAAAACTTAGCGGAAGAAAGTTTCAGAATTTTCCAAAAATAAGAACATCCATCTCGATAAAAGTGAAACTAATAACTACTAAATTTCAGTTAAAAAAAATAAAAAGTGAACCACATATCCAATAAAACTTTTAACACCAATTCAATACGTTAAAATCCTAAAACAAAACTTAAATCAAATTATTGTTTCAGAAAACAAAAAAAAAATTATAATATATATTATTTATAGGTGCGATTTTTTCAGGAAAAAAAATCATACTCGTTTTGAAAAAAAACTGAAAATTAAATCGGATGGAAAATCAGAAAATTCATTTTTCTATATAATATTCCATTCCAAAAAAGTCGGAAAATTTTGGAAGTTGGAATGAAAAAAGTTGTTCTAAAATTGAAAAAAAGTTTACTAATACTAATGATAATGCTAATGCTAATGCTAATATTGATACTGATACTAATACTAATACTAATACTATTACTATTACCAATCGTAATCCTACAAATGCAAATATCAAGTAATATCTAAACTATATTTATCAGTTTTTTTTTTCTGCATTTAATATTTTCATTTGTCCATCTAATATCTTTGTTATTATTTTTCTTTACGTTGAACATGTTTTTTTTCATTAAAGTCTTTTTTCAGTATTATAAAAATCTTTTTTTTTCATTTTTGTCTACATAATGTTGAAAATTGTGATTTTTTTTAGAAAAACAATTCGGTCGTAGTAATCTATAGACATCCATAGGAAACCTAGTAACTCGTGGTCACACACAGTCATCTATAATCACATAATCTTAAAATCCTAGCTCCCATTTTTACCCTAGTTGCCACCAAAACCCATAGTAATCATAGAGACTGGTAGTCATTCACACTCATTTAATATGAAACCATAGATCCACCACCGCCCCAGTGGCCAAAACCACCGCCGCCCCCTCCCCCACATCAAGATCTGATCTGAAAAACTCATCCTACGACGAGTACGTACCTCCAACTTCGATTCAACAAGACACTCCATCCCTAACTACGAGAGATCTGAAGCACATAGATGCAAGAGAGAAATAGAGATAGAGAAAGAAGGAGAGAGAAAGAGAAAAGGAGCAGAGACAGAGAAAACAAAAACGACAGTGAGAGAGAGTAGGAACAAGAAAAAGTGGGAGACAGAAGATTGAAGAAGAAAAGAGAAACGTGAATATATGTAGTTTATAGGATTTATGGTATAAGGGTAAGATAGGGATAAAAAAAAGTTATAGATGTGGCTCATATATTATTTCAAATTAATGATTTAATATAAAGATTGAATTTCGACTTGTCATTTGGTTCAAATTAGGTTTCCTTTCAGGAGCTCATAGATATTACCCCTAAAAAACAGACAATCGGGACAAAACTGATCGCGAATAATCTGCTTTGGCAACCAGTTTGTTGGTGAAATAGGAGGCTATTTCACACCCGATCGGGCATAAATAGGCACCAATAAGTTACACTAGAATCTACATATGTACAGGCTCACAACCATTTCATTTATCTTCAAAATGAGAAAGTACATCAGAATCTGTCCATAACAAAAATAGGACATTTCTTTTCTGGTAAAGAAGCAAAATTAGCACCATAATTACCCCATATAAAAGGAGGGAATTTCAAACGGAAAAAATAAAAAGAAAAGTATTTTTACATGATTATCGATCAACGATTCATTTAGTTTGCTTGCTTAATTTGTAGATTTCTCCATCATTAACTCTTCCCTCCACATCTTGCTCATCTTAGCAATGAACTCTTCTATCCTGCTCTCCAAATTATCAGAATCAGAATCAGAATCATCGTCATCTTCATCGCTACTCAACTCTATGTCTGAATCATAACCATCTGAGCCATCATACGAATCATCATCATCGTCATCGTCGTCATCAGCATCGTCATCATCATTATCGTCGTCATCATCGTCAATCCATCCATCTGCTATTTCTTCATTTTCTTCTTCTTCTTCATCTTCTCCCTCTTCATAAACCCGAAAACCAAGAAGCGTCATCAGCCCATCCAAATCTTCTGCCGATTTATTGCCGCTTTCGACGAGTATAGCGCAGATAATGGTGTTGCACACCGAAAATATGAAAGTCCGACTACAGAAAAACCCATTAAGGTTGCCATATGATGCAATTGAAAAACATAAAACTATTAAAAGGGTTACGAAAAACACAAATATCACGGCTAAATACATTATACACACGGTGGTGTATACACCTATCGAGCTAGTAAATATATACTTTTCATTCACACACACCCACATGGATGTGTGTAATTTTTCACTATAAGGAATGAAAGGTGAACTTGTCATTAAATTTTTTTTTTGGACTTGTCATTTTCTAATAGTTATTTTGACAATTTATAGCTTATAGTTTGTTGAGAATTTCCTGGAAATTTGATTCAAAGAGTATATTATTGGGATATATCATTAGACAAAGTCTATGTATATATTATTATATTATCTTTAATTAATTGGCTTCACAAATTCTAACACCAGGAAATGAAATTTCCCAGCATGCATGTCTTGTAATTGTCAACTTGGAAATTCATTTCCATTTATATATTTTACGCAAAAAATTATGTTAGACGCGGCAATAATATAATAATATATATATGTCAATTGCGTGCAGAATTTATTTATTGATTGTATTGTAACTTCATGCACAAGCAATCTTGTTGCGATGTTTTGCCCTGTAACTTCTTCTATCGATATCTTTTTTTTTTTTTTTCCTTTTCTAAATTAATACTAATTTATAGTACTCACGCTAACGTACGTACTGAAACAGAGAATTTAATGACCTAATTGATAACTTCATTACATCATAGATTTATTATGGAAATTACACCGTTCTCCACTATGGGAAATCTAGAAATTTACATTTATATCCTTTCAAATTTGAAAAATTGCATAAACATCTCCTTTAATTTATGATTTTGGTAACAAATTGATTCAACTCAAAAGTCAAAACTCAAAACCACCATCAATACAAGAAAAAGTTGCATTAGCGACACCCCAATTGTGACAAATACAAAAGTTGTCACTTAATATACACATTAAGTGACAACATCTTTTTTATTCTCACTAATAGCTTTAGGTGTTGTCACTCGCAAGATTTTTTTTTTCCCTAACATTTTTTTGATTTAAAGTAATGCATTCCATTAAATCAAATCTAATCACACTTTACACCCTTCATTAAGTAGTAAATTCAGTAAATGCCCACATATTAACCGATACCATAGGAAGCACATACCCCAGTCCCCATTTACTTATTTATATTTAAATGAAGGGGCTATTAGCTATATATATATATATATGGTTAATTAGATATTGGATTCTACAGAAATACACTCAGGTCATAAATTCTATATTTTTAAGGTACAATTTGTAGCAAAAATAACCTTAATGAAACAAACTCAAATGCCTCTGTTGATTTTAAAAGCCTATCAAAATTCACTCATTCTTTCTGTTGAGACAGATTACTTGTTACGATATTAAGTGTGATAACAAAATTCTTGTGTTGTCACAGTAATTAACCTACTAAAAGCAGAATAAAAAACACAAGAATTTAATGTGGTTCGGATATAAACGTACCCTACATCCACGAGGACTTGCAAACTAGTTCAGATTTACAGTGTACATTAATAGGATTTAATAAAACACTAAAAACTCCCTCTCTATGTTATACGCCGTTCTTGCACACGACTCGAACTTGTTGATAATCAAAGCAATTCCTCCATCCGCAATTTTAGACTCCTTCCAATGTTGAACTCCCTTCAAACGGCGGATCGACCTCTCCCGAGATCTTTTAAGCACTTCTTCTGAAACGCCGATCTTCTTAATTTATGGCCTGGTAGAAGATGTCATGTTGGCACACCTGATGTGCCGATAGGGCTGCAGCACGGGCTGCACCCCTCCTCAAAGCCTTTATGCTAGGATTTTCTTATTAAAGCTCCATGGGACTCATATGAGGTTGATGGCCTTATATAGGCAAGAAATCAGCACCATAAACCTAACTTGAGCCCTAAGAAATCGATTTAACTGGGTAATAGAATCCTAGTCGATTTCTATTTTTATTCTAGATAACTACAAAAGATACCTAGCTAACTAAAATATAATACATGGAAATAAATCTAAGTCCTAATAACAATAAGAATAGGACTTTAAGTAATTCCAAAATAAACATGGAAAACAAATCTTTGTCAATCTTTAATTACCACGTTTGGCGGATTTCTTTAATCTTCACCAACAGAAATCTGGCCCCAACACCCTCAAAATTTCTCTTCAAAATCAAATCTCGTAAAATTTGCCTCCCAAATCAAATTCTGAAAACTAAACTGTGGGTCTAACAGTGAGACTCCCTTCAATATTTGTTTTAATAGATCTAGCCCACTTTATTATTTGCATTTGAGAGACTCCCCTAAATTTTCATAACTCCCTTTTATGCTTACATTATTCAAAATTTCCACCCCTCTTACCGACTACATATATATCATTCTATTTTCTATCTTTTTCTTTTTTTTCTTTTTCGCTTTTTTTTCTTTTACTAAATTTATTTTTAATAAATTATTTTTTAATAATTCATTTTTTAATAAATTTGTCTTTTTTTCCTGACAGATTTACCATGTCATAAACAACTACAAATTACAATAATCAACTACAATTACTAAATTGTAATCGACTACATATTTCAACAATCAACTACAAAATTATAATGCAACTACAATTTATAACAAAACCAAATATAAAAACACCTCAATCCACGTGTACATGCCAAGTGGACACTTTATCTGAGTCAGCAGTTAAAGTGAAGTCGAAGGATGAGCTGAAAAGTAGTGTAAGCTGTTTGACTTAGAGAAACACATTTCTCTAATCAGACACTTTTAGCTGTGGCCACAGACTTCGTGGATTATAAATCGCAAGAACACACATGATATCCATGACTGATCAAGCGATCGAACCCCCTACTACAATGCACAGACATCCCACTAGATTTTGGACTGCATGAACACTGGCCCTTGGAGCGGTCATCGGTGGGACTCATGGACAGGTCACGATACAGCCTGTCCTATAGTGAAGTCACGGTGATGTCTCGGCCTTAAGGACTAATGGTGTACAACTATATCATAAAAACATCTACTTGATTATTGGGAACCACTTAGAGATCTCTAGATTGGGGGAGTTCAGTGAACTCATAAACTTATGAACACTCATTTATGTATGCCGATGTCGCAACACCGTTGACTTACGAGACGCAGTATACATACACTAAGTGCTAATCTCGAATGGGAAAGGCCGATATCCTCATTAGTCGCGTAACCCATTGACTAGGAACTACGTTTAACACTTATTATATTTATAATAATCTCATGATTCTACTAGATCTATTTATAGTAATTAAGTAACTATATGAACTATATATATGCTTATGCGAGGGATCAAGATATAGAATACCAAATGGGGTATTGATCATTAATACGAAATAGATTATTTACGAGTAGCGTGAGAAAACACAATAATTAGTTGGATCTTCGGTCACCTACTCTAACAATCTCCCACTTGACCTAAACTCAACTACTCATTACCTAAGTCCCATCGACTTTCGATGTTTTTCATGGACCGGTCTGAGTAAAGGCTAAGTAAAGGGATCTAAAATATTTTCTATCGAGGCAACTCTCTCGAACTAAAGTTCGCCTCTATTAATTATCTTACCTTTGAGATACTTATGATTCAGTGTATGCTTGGATTTCTGATGGGACTTATTGAAATCATACATTCAACATTTGAATGTAATTTCAAATCCAAACTGCTACATTTGCATCATCTAATGCCGCAATATATAGTGTATTAAGAGCGCATTAAAAGATGATTTCTTGAACGGGCTATGTAAGAATAGAAGTTTGTTTATGGATATTGAATCGACAACAATAAGTAATGGTTCTCCCAATTGTAATATGTAATCCCGTCTTAATAAATTTATGGAATCGGTTGTTGTTGTAGATATTCCACATAGGCAAGTGCACATATCATCTTTAACAAGTAATAACGTAGATTTGACAAATCCACGTGGGAGCGTGTTAATTTTCTACTTCTAACCCAAACTAGGACTGAAAACTATGAGTTCTTTTATAAGTGTGTGTGTGTAATGTTACTTCTTACTAGGTTGATCGATTAACACAATATTATTACCCGTCATCACAACTAAAGAAAATAATGTTGTTGTGTTAATATAGCATTACCGGCCAAAGGCAAAAAGTAAAAGCAAAATAATTAAAATATCAATGTCGGTGAACAGTGGCGAAATCATGATTTTATTACTGTGGGCCGAATATACATTGTACAATTTAATGATAATGATGATTGTTCTATGCGTGGTCAGTGTAGGATTTCGTTATAGGATGAGTATAACTTTTTGGGTTTTGGGGTAGCGCTTCGGATAAAAATTTAGGATTTTTTTTTCAACAAAACCAGAAGACATGAAAAAGAAAAAAAAAATTGTACTTTTTTTAATTAATTTGAATTTTGGTTGGACTAAATAATAAAAAATTGGTAGACTAAGAGGGTGTTTGGCTAAACTTACAAGATGTCAAAAGGAGCTTATAAGATGTTTTAGAGTTTATAAGCTCTTCCAAATTGTTTGGTAATTTTTTTAAAAAATATCTTAATTTTTTTAAAAATAAGCTGTTGGACAGCAAATAAGATCTTTTTAATTAAGTACCTCTACCCCACCTTTTTATTTAAGATCTTATAATGAGTAAAAATAAGAAATAAGCTTATTATCCAAACACTCTAAAATTAATCCTAAAAATAAGATGTAACAGCTTATCAGCTCTTAAAACATCTTATCAGACGTAACAGCTTATCAGCTGTTTAAAATAAGCTTAGCCGAACACCCTCTAAATAAATATGAGGTATAAAATGTAGTGGATTTTTTCAATTGAGAGTGGACTTGTCCCGGATCAAAGTCACAATTCGTAACTTCCTTATCGAACTTGTTAGACTCATATATTATTTTTTGTTGTTCTCTACGATTAAAAATAATTAATTTTATTTTTGTAAATAAAACTAAATTGTTAAAAATTATAGAACTACAATACAAAGATAATAAATTATATGTGTAAATACATATATAGTAGTAAGGGCATCTCCAATGGAGTAAGCAAATCAGGTCTCCAAATTTTGTTTTGGAGACCCATATAGAGACCCGGTAAAATTTTTGAGTCTCTAAAAAAAAAAGTTTCACAATGGAGGGCTCTATAATTTTGAGTCTCTAAATTTATTTTACGATTTTTTTATATGATAATGTGATTAAGGTTTAAATTTTATTCATTTGTGAGGTTTTAGATAATTAATTTATATTCCATCAATCATAATTACTTTTAATACACACTTTGATCAAATAAATAAAAAAATCTGAAAAGATATGATATATGTCCAAATATAATGAAATTATGAAAAAAGATATATACAACAATTGATCCCTGCCATTAATTATTTATCTACATTGCTATAGAAAAATAATTCTAACAAATGAAATGACAAAATATTAACTCAGATATATGTTCAAATATAATGAAAATAATAAATACATTTTTTTTCGAATTATATAAATATAAAATAAGCACCCCTTAAAAACTAAGAAGGAAAAAAGAAAAAGAAATAAAAAGCCGTGGGACCCAACAAATAGAGAGTCTCCAAATGAAATCACATATTTAGGAAAACATTTAGGAATTTGGTGAAAGTCTCTAAATTTGCATACCCACTAGAACCCTTGTTGGTGTTGCTTTTTTTTGCAGAAGTTCTATAATTTAGAGCCCAATGGAGTATGGAGCCTCCATTGGGGATGCCCTAAAAAAAATTAAATTTGAGCGGGGCAGTGGCCACCCCTGGCCCTACACTAGCTTCCCCATTGTCGGTCAACAACAATCAGTGGTGGTCAACGATCAAAATGTCAATGTCAATTTTCTTTGTAGTCGCCATCTAAAAGATTATACACAAGAAAGAGTGCTACTAATTTACTAAAATAATAACATTTAACTACGAGCTTCAACTTTTCAACTTTTGTAACTAGTTTGAATTAGAATCTTGTCAACAAATCTCAAAAGTCCCAAATATGTTTTAACAGCAATAAACTCCAACAATCATCTTTCTTCCCCTCCAATAATCATCATCAAGAACAAAAAATACAATGCAATAAGTTCAACTTGAAAGGGTAATAAATTGTACAATCTAAATAGTTCTAAGACACAATACATATATATTTTTTTTAAATAAATTTCAAAAAAAAGGGCCGAACTAGCGCACTATGTTACTACACAAACATCGCCATAAATCGGCTCCGGGTGCTACTTTTTTCGCGCAGAGATGAAAGAACTATGATGAATCAAATATCCGATGATCCATATATTTTGGAATTTGATGCCCAATAATACGATCGGTGGGTTTAAGAAGTGTTTTTGCATAATCGGAGGGTCTTGATGTAAATTATCCGGGTAAAGTTACGTTTATGTCGGTTGGTTTATTATTCCTCGAGTCTTGAGGAATTGAGGACCAGCTATCTCCTCGGAAAGAAGGGGTAGTATGGTAATTATACGCATCTTCCGTCACTGCACTTGATATAGGAATAGCAGGCGTAGGTATAATCGCCATTGACTCCGTTTTTTGTTTCTTCGTTTTCTGCTCGTGTTCGTGCCCCGCCAGAAAACTTCCAATCACAATCTAATTCATTGTAGTAAAAACAAAATCGAACAAAGTATTATTTATTTACACAAATTCATCAACACACTGAAACTTGGTAATTACAGTCAGACCCCTTTAAAATTAGGTAATTACAGAGTGCCCCCTCAACCTTTCATAATTACTATTACCTCCCCTGTGAGTTTATAATGTTTAAATTTGTGTACTAAAATAACATTGGTAATATTAAATGCAATAAACTCATTTGCTTTATAGATCAAAGAACAAATTGAATTATATCCATCTAATTAGTTAATTTAATATGATTTAAAAGAGAGAATTAAATTGTACCTGCACGGGACTGGCGGCAACTAATAATCCGGCGACTCCACCGCCAACGACCCGCCCGTCGGGACTAGCCAAAGAAACACTCATACCACCGGATCTGTTTCTCATTCCTCCTGTCTCCGAAGGCATGAATGATCCCGTTAACGAGACTATCTCAAATCGACCCTGCACAAAAATATTAAATAAAAATAAAATATCAAATCAATTTCACACCTATAATAATTTTTAAGGAATAAACGTCACAATATTTATTTAGCCCTCGAATCTCATGTATCACAAATCAACAATGTTAATGAGTGAATTGATGTTTAAATGAAAATTTAATTTGAATTTAGTACCTCGTACGTCAGCGTACCACCCGAAGAATCGGGCTGACGAAGAGTTACGCTTGAAATTACACCGTTAGCTGATAGAATACATATTGCTCGAGGACCTTGTTGTGAGAAAGATATAACTTTCATCGTAACATCCTATAATAATTAACAAAAGTAGAAATTATCAACGCCGTTAATTAACTTAATTATATTTAACAATTAAGGACTATTTAGCAATAAATTAGATGTATTTTACGATCAATTTACCTCTCCGGCATTGACCGTGATTATATGAGGGGTAAAACTAGCACCAACAGAGCACGAAACCGAATCACCTACAAATCGAAAAATATGCTATTAGCAATCAATTTGTTCATACCATCTTAAACGAAACAACCAATATAACTCGAGTTGCTATAATAAGTGAACCGCAGTTGCAAATTTCTCCGTACGCCACCGACACAAATTATCGTTAGAGATCAAGATAAATTAATTCAAGAAAGTCAACACTACGTAAGTGTTTGTGTTTACCACCATGGAAACCGAAAAGAAACGAGATTTCACTTGTCCGTAGTAACAATAAAAAAACTCTTACAAGAAAACACGACTCACTTCGCAAGAAAGCAATACAATACAACACAAGTCCTTATTTGTCTCTTTAACCAAATAATCGAAGAAGGTGAACTACACAGTTCTTAAACCCACCAATCCCGAAAACGAAAAAATAAAAAAAAATTCAATTCCATTATTTCAAGATTCCGTTTTTTCCTCACCTACCCCACTAATCTTAAAAACTCGACACATTTGCATCAACAAGATTTTAGTTGGCAAATCAATTCAAAGGCCCCACTACTTCAAGAATCGAACTTCATGTGTTCATAAATGTCGACAAGTTAGCCACTTCGATTGTCGGATTCTATCAAGAGAAAAAGAAAAAAAAACCCACAAACATATCTATATATACATATATATATGTATGTATGATTCCAAATTATATGAACATGCATGCAGCAACAATCAAACTAAAAACATAGTACAATATAATGGAAGAAATTGCAATTTGCATCACCTATTCCATTACCCAAGCTCTCAGCCGCCTCCACTCTGGGCGATTGAACCCTAGCAACCGACGCCAAAGACCGCACTTTTCCTCGCTTCTCCACCGCGGAGAAGTCGATAACCGGCGGCGGCGCGGAGGAGGAGATGGGCTTCGGCGAGAGCGGCGTAGGCGTAGCAGCCACCGATGACCCATCCGGGGCGTACTTCCTCGGCCTGCCCCTCTTCTTCTTTAAGGTGGCGGCGGCGCCGCCGTCCACTCCGGCGGCGGCGGACGGCGGAGGAGTAGCGGCGGAAACGGTTGACGATGGTGTCACGGTGGTCGGAGGCAGCGGTGCTGATCCGGCGACCGGAGTTGAGTATTCCGCTGCGCCACCGCCGGCGGCGGCGGCGGCGGCGGAGGAGGAGCCCCTAGGAGCCACGTGGTACTCGGAGGGAGCATCTGATGCCACTACTCTTACTCCACTGCTACTCAAGTATTAGTACCTTCCATAATTTTAATTCTCGAGAAAAGAAGTAGCTATATCAACTTTTATTAAGACAAAGTTTAGAATGTTTCCTTAAAATAATCAAAAGAAAACGGAGAAAAACACAAAACCCATTTGCAGAGAGTTAGCAAAAGGCTCAAAACGTCGTCGTTTTTTAAACAAAGCTTTATCAATTAAAGATCAAAGTGAAACTAAGCTCCCTCTGTTCATTTCTTGAAAAGAAAAAAAAAAACAGAGGAGGGAAGAGAAGAAATGAACAAAGTGGATTTTCTGGAAATAAAGATTTGATTTTTTTTGAGAAAATTCTGAGATTTGGAAGAAAAAAGATTGGATTTTTAATTTTATTTTTTGTTTGGCTATGGTGGTTGATGAGAAAAAATGGGGAAAATGAGGTTTTGGAGTTAAAAAAAGATAATTTGGTTCGGATTGTCCAAATTGCAGCATTTAAAAAATGGTAAATAGGGGATAGGAAAATATTTAATAATTGGGGTCATTAATTGTTAATTATATGAAAGCAAAAAAATTATGTATTTTGGTTAATAAAATGGTTGGAGTCCGGTTGAAAAAAAAAATTAAATTAAAAATTAAAAATTAAAAAACAAACAAAAGAAAAGGAAAAAAAAAAAAAAAAAAAGAGGTAATTGTGGTTGGGAAAAAGTGAAATTAGGTTGCCAAGGCATGAAGACAACCATCACTTTCTTGAAAAAGAAAATTTATATATTAAGAGAGAGAAAAAAAAATAATATATTATATACATTTTATAATATATATAATATATATATATATATAAGCATTTATTAATTTCCTTAATAAATAAAACCATGGGTATGCAAAATACTGACAAGAAATATGAAAAGTCGAGATGAGGAAATTTTTGAAAATACATAACCCCATTTGTTATGATAATTAAAGGTCAACTCAAATTGAATACTTTTTTCTGTGATTTGAATTTCCTTGAATTGTGAAAAAGTGTAATAATGATTTATAGAATTAATTTGATGAAAAATTCAGTTCAAAAATATATATATATAGATATATATATATATATATATATATATATATATATATATTTGAGTAAATTCAAGTCCATTATAAGGGAAAGTAGAGGAGGGGGGACTCGATCCCTAGACCTTTCCCTTTATTGGTAAAGACTAGGTACCAACTCTCCTAATGAGGGTTGGTCAAATAATTTTTTTTTTCAGTTTAGCCATTTTCATTTAAAAATCACATATTTTCATAAATTATTAGGCAATAAGAATTAGAAAAATTAAGTAGCTCTTTCTTTTTCGTTTATCATTAAAAAAATGGGTTATTTTACATACCCCCTAACCACAAAATAAATTAGGGATAAATATAAGCCCAAATCATTATTTGATATACTCCTGGAGAAGCGAAAGTAGTATACTACCCTTATATGCAATTTTCGGCCAAACTGCATTTAGCATTTCTGGTCCTGCATTTATCATTTTCGCTGATTTATTTATTATTGTTTTTTTTTCTTTTTTCTTAATAATAAACGTGTTTGTTAAATATATATATATATATATATATATATATATATATATATATATATA